CATTATAATAGCACAGCACCTTGCCTGTGTTTTGTTTGTTTGTTTTCTTTATTTCTCATGTGCATTCTGGTGGCTGAACTCAAGTTCCCTAGCTCCTGTTTCAAGGACTTTTCTTACTGAGCTGTATCTCCAGTTCCTCCAAAGTCACTTTTAAAGACTGAATTTTCAGAACACCTATGTAGAACATAGGATATGGTTCTTGATGTAGAGTAAGCCCTAACTACATGCCAGTTAGTCATGTTCCTATGATGTTCACAGCATCATACTGAAGAACAAACTAGATGATGACTTGTTTACTGTGATAATTTATTTCTGATTAAGTTTGGAGGAAATGGTTTTCAAATTCTCTTAAACTTAATCTTCTAAGATTCCCAGTTGTGTTTCTTTTTAGTCATTCCCCCATGTGCTGTGTTCTGCTCATCATCCACATTTCATGACTTGAAAGAATGCACACTCTGTATCTACTCCCGAAGAAAATGCTTTAACTATGTAATTAGTTTGGATGGGTTTGAGGATATATTTATATAATATAGTTTTAATGCTACTCTTAATCAAAATTTGAATAATCATTTTACATTAAATGTTAGATATAATGACATTTCATCATACATCAAACCTACTAAAAGAGATGTTTAGTGACTACAAAAAAACTATAAAAATTATAAAAAATAAAACCATAAACACTCGCATTCCCAGAAACACACTTCAAATACCCAAGTAATTATTCAAGATACTAATCTTTTATCATTACTATAAAACTTTGTCAAATTTTAGTTTGTCTTTTCCTTTTGATTCTTCAAAATACTGCTCTACCTACATGTGGTAGTACATGCCTGTAAACCTAGCACTTAACATCCAGCACTTGACAGAGGGATGAAGGAGAAGGGTTTTAAGCTTCTCTGGGATACATAGTTGGACTTTCTGCAAAAGATCAGGAGGAGGAAACGTAAAGGGAAAACTCCTGTTCACTGGGAATGTTGACAAACAAAAATGATTATTGAAAAGTCAAAGAATAGATAATAGGAACAGGCGTGTGTGTGTGTGTGTGTGTGTGTGTGTGTGTGTGTGTGTGTGTGTCTGTGTGTGTGTGTCTGTGTGTGTATAAGCATATGTGTACTCACATTTTTGCCTGTCTGAAGTTATAGTTTAATAGAGGAATCACATGGCATTAAAATTAAAAGTCATACAAATATGTGAAAATTATAACTTTTCTAAATGGTGACAAAAAAGTCATGTGTGTTGTCCACTGTTAATGTAAATACAATTACTATCCTAATCAAAGAGGCATGGAAAACTTGCCTTCCACAGAGTTCAGATGTGAATTTTCTTGAAGGAGCTTCAGGGAGACAGTTCAGACCATGGAAACAGCATGTGCAAAGACTAAGCCTCAAAAAGATGTTTAGCAAAAACATGTAACAGTGTGACTGTGCTCCAATGAGTGTCTAGAACTGTCCATTCAAGCATGTGTAACTCACATTATAGATTGAATCATCTTTGTATGACAAGGCAAACCCACTGAAAACCCTTAAAGTGTGATATAGCAAAGTCAAATTTGTTTTGAAGAATGATCCTTTGAGTTGTGATACAAAGAAGAAGAATGGGTTTCAGATAGACTTGTAAGGAGCCGGGGCCCAGAACAGTAAAAAGAGTGGACAGGGGATATTTATAAAAGAAAATCAATAATGACAGATTAGAGTAGGTCACAAGGAGAAAATAATGAGGTTACAAAAAAATAAGGCTATATCAAAAGATGTCACACATTGAAATAGGAGTCTTCAAAGAGAATTTGAATGGTTTGTCATGAGTATAAGCCTGGCTATGTCAGATCTGAGATAAAATTGAGGTATTTAGTAGAAATGTAAATTATAGTAATGAATAAGTCAGTCTAGACTCTGAAATCCAAGGGAGAAGCAATACCACTGCCAAGAAGGCTTTTCAGGTGAGTGTGAATCACATGCAGTTTGACTTCAAAGTGCAGAGACTTCACAGTGCTACTCCCATGATTGGGTGTCCAGTTACATGCTTACACAGGAGTCTTCTCAGGCTTTGTAGAAATAAAGACAAATCTTCAGATTATGTTGATATTAAAAAGATAAAACAGAAAATACATTTATGGAGCTTCAGCAGTCATAGGGAATTGGGAAAAGACTTTTTTTATATTAATGAGAAAATGTTAAGAATTTTCAAGTAGGAAATGTATAGCTTATATGATATTTGACAAAGTTTTAGTCTCTGAAATCATGACAGTTGATAGAGTTTGCTGGTAAAGGCTGACAGTAGACAGGAAGGAGGGCAGATCTGTAGTTTTCCAATTTTACAGCCACTTCCAAATTATCACACAGAGGCTTGTAAATGATCAGTCGATAGCTCAGGCTTGTTACCAGCTAACTCTTACACTTAAATTAACCCATTATTCTTATCTATGTCTAGCCACATAGCTTTGTACCTTTATTCAGTACAACATTCTCATCTTGCTTCTCTGCATTTGCTGGCAGCTTCCTAACTCTGCCCTTCCTCTTCCCAGCATTCTCCTAGTTTGGCTCTCACATTCAATCTCTTCCTGCCCAGCTGTCAGTCAAGCAGCTTTTTATTAGCCAGTGAGAGTAACACATAATTATAGTGTACATAAAGATTGTTTCACAGAATTTCCTCCTTTTTGTCTAAATAAAAAAGGAAGGTTATAACTTTGACGTAGTAAAATTATATACAATAAAAAAGTTACTAAGTAAAAATTACTTATCTAGTCTATTTGTATTTGACAAAATTAGAGAAAATATTTTATTATGTATCATATCTTTATGAGTACAAAGTATTGTACCTAATTTACCTTTTACCATAACTAAGGAAAACTATAACTATATAATCTTCAGTTCCATCAAAGACCCCAGAAAGGTGAAATGTTACCTAATGACAGGGACATCTCACTGCCTGGACAGTCAACCAAAGTTTCTCTGTAATGTTTAGGGCATCTAACTTTGGCCTACAGCCTAGCATATCTGACAGACTTTCCTGTAAAGCAGAGAATTCTGAAGGACTGTCCTAACTTGTCTTGGCAAAGTTTGGCAGTCACCTTTCTTGTGTCTTGCTGGTCCAGTTTGGACTATATAATGTCAGCAATTGTGGCATGGGCAGTTTCTTTCCCTAATGACTAGCTTATGCCTCAAAGAAAGCAAGTTCCATATGGAGGGTTTTGTTTTGTTTTGTTTTTGTTTTAGTTTTAGTTTTGGTTTTGGTTTTGTTTTGTTTTGTTTTGTTTTTGTTACCCATCATCTTCTCTGAAATAGATTTGTGCTTTCAGGACCAGATGTGTCTCACTGTCATGAAAAGCTTTAGGTTATTAAACATATTAAATGTCATATTCTGTATGTCTTTAAAATATTTGAAGACCATATCTCTAAAGCTTTAGGTTATTAAACTTATTAAATGCCATATTAACTAGGTCTTTAAAGTGTTTGAAGACCATATCACTATCTAAACATATCTGTGTATGACCTTGAAATATACCTAATATGCCTATAAGTTTGACCATTATAGATGACTATCAATCTGTATTTCTTAATTATACATTATATTTTTAAATGAGCTGCATCAACACAATACTTTAAGCAAGAGTAGAAATATACATATAGTTTAACAAAATTAACTTTAAATTTGTTTCAATAAACTAAAATTCATACTAATATAAAATGTTTAAGATTAATAGTTATTTTTGGATTAAAGCAGATTTAATAATCTACCCTTTTATCCCATTATTTCTCTATCCCTCCTTTTCTTTTTAGAATGAGATCCCTGAATGAATTTAATTTCCTTTGTTTAGCTTTTTTCCTGACCATTACCAATAACAACCTGTAACCAATCCCCCCTAAATGATAAAAAATATCCATAACCCATTTTTTGGGAATGTAGGCATAGTTTTCTAGACCACTTCCTATTGATTGTGGGGGTGATGGTAATCTTTGAGGGAACCTTGAGAAAATCAGCATAACTTCTAAGTCTTGGTTGTATTTTTCTGTGAGGCTGAATCATCCCTGTCAGCAGCCTGGAAGCTGTTTTGGATGCTGAATCACCTGGACCATTGTTTTCACTAGTGCCTGATCCCCTTGTTTTGAAAATATGCAAACTTTTAAAGATAACATACATATCTGCATTAGTACAAGTATAGGTTGTGTATTGTACGAAAGTCAGTTTGAAGATATTTTTTGCTATGTGTTTGAGCAGGTAAAATATACAGTACATGTCTTGCAGTTATTCTAGGTTTATTTCCTCATGCCTCTAGTCAGGATTTCATGGGTCTTCTTCAATCAAACCTGATTATCCATAACTGAGAGTGAATCCATAGCCTCTCATTTCCTGTGAACCTCTTCCCCAATGTAACACATCTTTTGACTTAAATTTTGAAGTCAAGATATTTTTTAAATATATAGGTTGGTTGAACCTAGCAGTTTTCAAAACCCAATGTCTCTTAGCAGCCAAAAATTCAAAGACAACACAATAACATACATTTTCCAGACTCTCTGTGTATTCCCATCTTTTCATGGCTTATTGTACTTTTTATTACCCTATTCCCTTTTTAAGGACTTTCTCTACATTTTTTCTTTTCTCTCCCAAGACTATGTATATTTTTAAACACACTGAAAACTGTTTAGAGTTTTTTTTTTTTTTTTTGTTAAATCTGAATCTGTCTTTACTACATATCTCTCTATATTTTTAACCACATTATTGTTTAAACTGCTAATCAGCCTGGCTATGACCAAAGTGGTAGCTTTGGTGGCTGGCTCTGCCCTGCTTTGCTTCCTAAGAGCTTAGCTTCATGGCAGAGGTACAGAGAGTCACACATACCACCACAACTCTGGAAAGCTGTTGGGTTCACACAGCCACCAAGTAGAGTGCAGCTTGCTGAACAAAAACCCCATTCAAGTGCTGTGGCTATTTGTTTTTTCTCTTTTGGGCTCACAACCCAGCTCCCAAATAAATTCACACATGGAAGCTTATTCTTTATTATGAATGCCTGGGCTTAGGTTGGTTTAGTTTCTAGCCAGCTTTCCTTAACTTAAATTATCCCATATACCTTTGCCTCTGGGCTTTTCCCATTCTCTAACTTCTGTAAACCTTACTCTTACTCCACACCTTGCTGTGCAGCTGGATGGCTGACCCCTAGTGTCTTCCTCCTTCTCTGACTATTCTTTTTCAATTCCCTCTTTCCAGATTTCTCCTTCTATTTATACTCTCTGCCTGCCAGCTCCACCTATATTTTCTCATGCCTTGCTGTTGGCCAGCTCTTTATTAGACCATCAGGTGTTTTACATAGGCATAGTAACACAGCTTCACAGAGTTAAACAAATGCCATATAAACAAAAGTAACACACCTTAAAATACTTTCTACAATAAAGTGCTCCATAGCGGGGCCTCCCAAAAGAGCCATCCCTGCTACCAGCAGGAACTAGGAAGCCACATCTTAAAGGAGCCATGCCTCTGCTTGCTGCTAACAAACATAGCCTACCGATAAAAGGCAGTTACCAAGAAGACATGCTTGACATTTTTGTGTGCTCAGAATCCTTTTTAAAGCTTTTTCAGTCTTCATGTAGATGTATTTGACCCTGGATGTTAGATATCATATGTAGGTGGAGTTTTCCCATCCCAGCAGCTGCTTCCAAATTACTACACAGAGGCTTATATTAATTGTAAATGCTCAGTCAATAGCTCAGGCTTGTTACCAGCTAAATCTTACACTTAAATTAACCCATAATTCTTATCTGTGTCGAGCCACATGGCTTGGTACCTTTACTCAGTACAACATTCTCATCTTGCTTTCTGCATTTGCTGATGACTCTCTGACTATGCCCTCCCTCTTCCCAGCATTCTCTTAGTCTGGCTCTCACATTCAATCTCTTCCTGTCCAGCTATTGACCGAGCAGATTTTTATTAGCCAATGAAAATAATACATATTCCTAGTGTACAAAAAGATTTTTCCACAGCACAGCTCCACATTTGTAAACAGAACTAAAAGAACAGACTGGTGGTATCCAGAGGTGGGGCGCTGGAAGGCTGTGCTAATTCCAATTTCATATTTCCCATGCTCACTCTATGACACAGTAGATATCATATTCTGAGGGTTTCTGGGTAGTGTAGAAAGACCAAAGGTTTTATATTGGTGAATATTTAAAAATTATTGTATAAAAAAGATAAATGAATTGACTAAATTGACACATAAGAAAGGTAAGACTCAGCAAAAAGTGAGTTATGTCACCATTCATTTCTGATTATATTTCTAGATATTCAGGATGTTTGTAACTTTCATTCTGAATAAGTGGTTTTGAGTCTTTTTCTGTGCAGTGTAGCATCTCTAAATATAAGTAAGAAACAATGGCCCAGTTTTCCACCAGACATCTGCTGTACCACTGATTCTGAAAAAAGCAATGAGCAACTCCCCAGGAAGGTGAATCAAAATTTAGAAACAGTTAAGTAAGGGGTGTGTGTGTGTGTGTGTGTGTGTGTGTGTGTGTGTGTGTGTGTCTATGTGTCAGTAGAAATGGAAATGTCATCATAATTCTGATTTGCCTTCCTGGGGAGGGTGAAATTTCTCCCAAGCATAGAATACACAAGTGATGAAATTCAATGAAAATTTAGGAATTTCTCTATAGATCCACACAGGTAATTTCCATATTTATTAACATTTCAGTCATACAAAATAATCTCCTCATAAATTAATTAATTAATTAATTAATTAAACAAGCAAGCCATAGAGGTTGTTATTTAAGAAACTTAGATGTATTCAACATTAAAGTATCAGTATTGGGCCTGGAAGATGGCCCAACAGGCAAAGGTGCTTGTACTCAAACCTCATGACCTCAGTTTGATTCGTGCCTACATGGTGCAAAGTGAGAACTGACTCCAAGAAGTTGTCCTTTGACTTTCACATGCATGCTATAGTAAACATACACACATGCATGTACACACACACACACACACACACACACAACCACACACACACATGACCACACACACAACAATTACTTTACTTTACTTAGAATGTGTTAAAAGTATTATTATTTCAGAAAATTGATTCATTGAAATTGGTTTAGCATTCCATGTGGCATCTTACTTTTCTTCTCTCCCATTTTCTTGGTGCCTAAAAGCTGTAAATGCATTTCTATCTCCCTGCACAAAATAATAAAAAAAGAAAGAAACACAGCTAGAAAATGCTCAGCATACATTTTATTGGTATTTATATTTGTCTAGAGAGGGCTTCCTACTGCTTTAATCACTACCACAGATCATTATTTTAAACAAGATGCCTATTTATTTAAATATGTATGCTCCTGTCACAGAATTTGAGTGTGAAGTCATTTATTCAGTGCTTTACTGCAATTCTGTAATGTGTCTTAAATAGGTAGAAGAGCATGTGCTGTTGTGATGGCTATCACTGGGAACCTAAGGGAACACACTGAGAAAAGGAATTATGATTTTAAGAAGTGTCTGTCTCCATGGCCTTTAATATCTTTTGACAGCTTCTGAAGAGTACACAACAGAAGCATGGTGTGGGCTTTTGGTATATGACATTACAAATCAGCCCTAACAAGTTTAGAGCCCAAACTATAATTTTTGTGCATAGAAATTTAGACAAAAGCTGATGTCAATTGAAGTTTCAAGGAACCTGCCTATGAGTTTACATGTTAAGCAATTGGGAATGTCTTGGAAACATTTTCTTAGAAATCTTTGGATAAGTTTTACTTTGCTAGTGTGTTAATGATGGCTTTGATAAAATGAATTAAGGGGAAAAAACAGATAATTTATTGACGTGTATCTGTGTCTAAGGCATTCCTGACTGATTCCACATGCACTGGCAATATGAACTAGGTAATTTGTTTGACTCTACTGGGGCAAGATTTTCAATAAGATATGCAAAATTCACATAAGCTTGTCTATAAGAAGTCTCTGCAGTATTTTCAGTTTATATAAGAGGCTTAAGATGATGCCCAAGGTATCATTTTTTTCTCCCTCAAGGCAAACTGAAATGTCACAAATCAAATTGTTTTCACACTACTAATGTATTCTTCTCTCTTTCAATTTTTCAGAGAGCTGACATCGGGATTTCTGCTTTAACTATTACTCCAGACAGAGAGAATGTTGTGGATTTTACAACACGTTACATGGACTACTCAGTGGGGGTTCTACTTCGAAGGGCAGAAAAGACAGTGGATATGTTTGCCTGTCTTGCACCATTTGATCTGTCTCTGTGGGCCTGCATTGCTGGCACAGTCCTTCTTGTGGGACTACTAGTCTACCTCTTGAACTGGCTTAATCCCCCACGATTACAAATGGGATCAATGACATCTACTACACTCTACAACTCCATGTGGTTTGTGTATGGATCCTTTGTTCAGCAAGGTAAGGAGAAAGAGTGCATTTTACTAATATGAAGCTAGGGAAATGATGATTCAAATATTCAGTAAAATGATTTTGTATATAGCATCAATAAGAGCTCTTACGGATCCTCACAGCAGTGCTCAGAAGATAACATTTCCTACTGTCTTTTAGTGGATCTCAGGCATAGCAGGCTTTCAACAATAATGGCTGTTTATCTTTTGATGTAAATTCAGTTTCATCAGCAAAGGCAAGGCTGAATGTCAGTGGTAAGATTCACAGGGTACCTCAAGGTCAGTTTTTCCTCTCAAACTCTGACTTCCTGAGAAATAGCTTTCCTGGCATGAAACTACTTACTATGAGAAAAAATGCTTTTCAATTATTTACATGTATAACAGAGTTAGGACGTGTTCTTTGTTCAAATGTATTTTCTTTTCTCCACATAATCATTAGCAGTACAAAAAATTGCTTAATATAAGCCCATAATAGGAAATTTCATGATTAATGGTTCCTTTTAATATATATCTTTACCAATGAATTTACCTTATGACTTTATTATTTCCAGAAGAATGTTTTTACTTTGTTATCTATACCCAGTTTACCCTCTTCTTTACAGATCTCTAGTTAACTATATGATTCCCCTGTTTCAGAACAGTATATCTTTTGCATGATCTATTTGAGTCTACTGCTAATGTAGAAGATTGAAGGACAAGGATTGACAATCAGGCAAATTCAGCACAGGCACTGAACCCAAGAACTACATGCAAGAATTAACTCATAACTGAGTAGAAAGTGGGTATAGAGAGCAATGGAGAGTCAGGAGATTGGTTTTATTGATTTAATGGAACCAGTGAAACTTGAGTAATGACATAGTAGTTGATAGTGAAAAAGAAAAGGAGAAAAAGACTAACAAAATCTTTTCAGTGGCGGCTGGCAGTAACCACTAGAAAGATTCAAAGGAAATATCAGAAATGTAGTGGCATACATACCTTGAATATTTAATCAACTGGATTTGGTTGGTTGTATTAATTCTGTTGAAGAAGAAAAATTAATGTCAACCTTATCAGTCCAGAGATGGAAATAGCTCGTTCATTCCACTCACAAGTCAACTTCCATGGTTGATTTCAGCTGTTGGTTGTTAGAAGAGGCCTGTAGTCCTCAGGTTTCTCTTTTTAAGCCTCTCTACACTTCTGTCTGCCTGGTACAGTTGGTCTTTCTCATAATGTCATGGTTGCTTTCGCCAAAGAAAGAATCACACAAATTGGAGAATTCTGTGGTCTCTCTTGTTGAGTTCTTCTTTGAGACAATTTCTTGAATAGGCTTGACACAGGGAATTTTTATGGGAATTAAAATTATGGAGTTTTTAAATAGATTAAACTGTACTAAAATAAATATTTGTTAAATAAAAACTAAATATGGCTTGGCTATGGATAGGTTATTGGCAAGGCAGTGAATGAAATGGTAAGCTCTGGGATAACCAAGAAACAAATACAAGGATCATTAAAAGTGAAATAGAGAATAAGAGTAGAAAGTTTGAGCAGGAGAAATTAGCAGAAGTCTTGATGAGATTACGAACAACAGTGGAAATATCAGAATGAGTAGCTTTGATGAATATTCATAAAATTGGACATCTGAAACGAATTTTTTAAAATTAAATAGTAGAGTAATAGTCACCAACATGTATTTTCACATTTCTGAAGTTAAAAGTTGGTGAAAGACCCCACAGCAGATCAATAAATGTGAAATGAACCTTCTGTAACAACTTACAGATTTAATTGGAGAAGACGTAAATGAGCTACCTAGCAAAGTTAGTTGTCAATACTGAAGAAGAATGGCTAGGCTGACAGCAGACATGTGCTAAAAGAAAGAGGAGGTCGAATAGCTATGTAGTTAACTTGTTTCATCACATCTTGTCCTTTTCCATTAGTGTTGTCTGTGGGTAGTTTCACCAACCATGGAACATGCCAGTAACACACACCCTGCCCTGGCCACCCTTGCACTTCTCAGTTGTCTGTTGAAAGAGTCACTAGACCACCCTCTGGAAAGGCAAGACATAGCAGAAACTCCACCATGCCAAATACACTTGAATTCTTTTACATAGGCCTTAAACCTTTTTTTTTTTTTTCCAAAATAGGTCACCAACCACCTGGACATACAAAGAAATCTTAACCACACCCAGATTCTTCCTCTTTTTCTACCCCCTGTTTACCAATTCTGTCAATTTTTCCTCAAATATTTTATAAGTGGAAATTTTTATTTAAATGGAGAGATTAGACCAACTTCATTTCTTCCCTGAAGTGTATGAGCCTCTTAACAGCTCTTCCTTTTCCTGACATTCCCATGAAATTAACTGATACACACAAAGGTGTGTGTGTGTGTGTGTGTGTGTGTGTGTGTGTGTGTGTGTGTGTGTGTGTGTGTTAAGTATATATAAAAGATGACCACAACATTTCCCCTCTTCATGTGCTTCCTTAACTTCTCAGTAACCTCTGACTACAGATCTGAGCCCTTTTTGGTCTGGCTAATATTCCAGCTCTGAGTGCCATCCAGGGATCAGTTCTTATCTACTGACACTGAGATATCACAGTAAGTGGACAGTTATTCTAACCTTTTGCTGAGGTGAGCCTGGCTGCTGCTTCTCTGCTTTTGTTGCTATTTTTGCAAATCCTGAAGTACTTCTGATGTTATCCTGTCCAGTATTCACTCCCATCCTCTACTCAGACTTGACAAGCTCCAGCTCACCCTTCAAGTCTTATCTTTGTGTCTCCACCTTCACGAACCTTTTTCAGGCTAAGGCACCATCTCATATGCTTTTTAAGACAGATGTATTTCACTACTTACAAGTATATGCAAAGCAAATACCTTTCTTTCCTCTTCTATTTATCATCACCCAGATATTTCTTCTGCTTTTAGATAAAATTTATTTTTTATTTTTTATTGTATTTTTATTTGTAATTTAATTTAATTTTACATATCAGCCATGGATTCCCCTGTCCTCCCTCCTCCTGCCCCCCCTAGCCCACCCCCCCATTCCCATTTCCTCCAGGGCAAGGACTCCCCTGAGCATTCAGCTCAACCTGGTAGATTCGGTCGAGGAAAGTCCAGTCCCCTCCTCCCAGGCTGAGCAAAATGTCCCTGCATAGGCCCCAGGTTCCAAACAGCCAGCTCATGCACTAAGGACAGATCCTGGTTCCACTGCCTGGGGGCCTCCCAAACAGTTCAAGCTAATCAACTGTCTCACTTATCTAGAGGGCCTGATCCAGTTGGGGGCTCCTCAGCTATTGGTTCATAGTTCATGTGTTTCCACTAGTTTGGCTATTTGTCCCTGTGCTTTTTCCAATCATGGTCTCAACAATTCTCATTCATACAATCCATCCTCTTTCTTGCCAATTGGACTCCTGGAGCTCCACCTGGGGCCTGGCCATGGATCTCTGTATCTGCTTCCATCAGTCATTGGATGAGAGTTCTAGCACAACTATTAGATATAATTTATTATAAAAAATTGCAAATGAATAAAAACAACATACACTAAAACCAACCAGACTCAAAGTATATACAACTAAATGAACTTATGTACAGTTAAACATTGCATTTCAAAACAGAGCATTGTTTTAAGTGCAGAATAATACTATACTTCCTTAGTCCCTTTGCCTACAATTCAGTGTCTTTTCCATGTGAAGTGGTTAATAAATATGCACTAAAAAGTCAATAGATGAACATAAGCTGAATATTTACATAAGTCATGGAGTTACCAGAAATTATGTACTTATAAATTTGCAATCTGAAAACAAATTCACTGAAATTGCCCCCAATGACCCCAAATCATCAAGCCAAAGAAGTTATGTATACTGTGTTAAAAGTACACATCACTGAGTTGTTTATTTTGTAAACAAACAAATAAACAAAACAAAACACCTAAATAAGATCTCCTGTATGTAGAGTTACTTTTGAAAATATTTACAAGTATGCATTAGCTTTCTTAATTCTTTCTTCAATTGACAAAAATTCAAATTAAGTTTTGGAGCAAAAGCAAACAAAAAGAAAAGAGCTACCTGAATGGTCATCATGATTTTCTAGTTCTGTAATAATGCAGAGGATATCAACAGTTGAACATACATTAAGCATGTCTCTATCACAACTTCTTTGTTAAATGTTCCCCACAGCCTGTAGGTTGGCTGTAAATTTACATGAATTCATAATGAAGGATAATGCTGAAGTGTATGTAATTAACCAACTTGCCTTTGAGAAGCTGCTGTCTGTTCACTGGCTAACAATATAAAGGTGAAGCCATTAAAAGGTACTGAGGGCATTGTTCTGCTCTGATTAAAAGTAAATTAAAGGTCCATAAACTCTATGAAAAGAGAATCAATGAGCAGCACTATCCATGAATAAGCAATGGATTTGGAGTTACTGATAATTTCTGATGAAAATACAGTCTCTTTAGAGGAAGCACAGCTGTTATTTCAAAATTAAATATTTATTGAGACACTATTCTAGATTGAAAAGGGGTGAGCAGGCATTTTATGTTTTAGTGTTCTGAAAAGGAGTTCATGAAGAGCTACAAGCAGAAAAAAATGTTAAATATATCTGAGTTGTTTACTATTCCTTATTTTTTAAAAAATCAGTGATTTCACAACATTCTGGGAAAAAAAAAAACAGCTTTGGGAATTCAACTGTATAAAAGCAATATGGTCCATTACAGAGATAAACTCAGTACATCTGTGTGGCTAGAACATTAGAGATTGAGAATTAGGTTGTTAAATGCAAGAATGAGAGACCAATTTAATACATTTTGTTGTCATTTTATCATTCCTCATCACTACATCTATATATCTGTCCTTGAAGTCAGCATATTATAAACATTGGAGTCTGAGTTTCAAAGGTCCTCTAACATGTTCATTGGCAGTGATTCTAATGCCACCAAAGCTCAATTGACTAGCTCACAAATGTAGTTCCATGTAACTTGTTTGTTGTTTATAAACAAAATAGAAAGGGAAATCTTGATTTGTTCTTCTATGAGTTTATCTGATTTTAAGAACCATAAGTGCTTATAGCCATGCATCAGTCAATCAGCTAGCATCCTTTACATAGTGACAATGTCCCAGGAAGAGTAGGACCAGAAAAAAGAACAGGGAACATGTTTAATATGTTTTTGCCATGCCCAACCTAGCCACTTCAATATGGTGATAAGAAAACAACCCTAATATTTGTTTTTATTTATTCTTTGAGAATTTCATACAATATATATTTATCATATCCTTTCACATTAAACAACTCCTTCCAGATACACTACCCAGCATATACACAAGTACATGTTCTTTCTCATTTTTTTTAAAAGACACTGGAGTCCAATTTTTGTTGGCCAATTACTCCTAAGCATGGGTCCTGTCCTGGAGTGTGGCTGATATTTCCATTGTCACTTGAGTGAAGAACACTGATTTTTCTCATCTCACCAGCTATTATTTGTAAAGAGCTTTTCAGTTAGAGGTGGAATGCTGTAACCACTTGCTCCTCTGTTCTGGAATTCCCTCTTCTTCTGCTTATCAGAGTCTCTGTGAGTTCATACCTATGTCTCCCTGTTGTACCTGGGAAATGCTGTTTCCTTAAAATCATCCACTGCCCCTGGCTCTTCAAATCTTTCCAAACCCTCTTCCCCATAGAACCCTGAACCTTTCAGGCAGTGGTTCACAACCTATAGATTGTGACTCTTTGAAGGGTTGAATGACCCTTTTATAGGGGTTGTGTTAGATCATCCTGCCTATAAGACATTTGTATTACAATTCATAAATAACGGTAACAAAATTACACTTATGAAGTAGCAATGAAAATCATTTTATGATTTTCACTACAACATGAAGAACTGCATTAGAGTCTCAGCATTAGGAAGGTTGAGAACAACTGGTTTAAGTGAAGGGATGATAGAGATACCCTATCCATGACTGAGAACTTCAAAAATCTCTCTCACTCTCTGCATATTGAAGGACATATAGTATTTGTAAGTGTGTTCTATGCCATGTCAATGTTTCTTAATAAATTTTACCCAGAAAAAAGCATTTCCAATTATAGGATCAAATAAAGTTATTGAAAACAGAAAAGAAGGAAAACTCTTTGTTAGTTTTAGGGATCAAACAGGTCTACAAATACTAGCACTGGATAGAAAAAGGGTCCATAGGAAAGCTAAAAATAACTCCATGCTTCCACATAAGAGTTAACCTGAGAGGCAACCCACTGGCTTTTAAATCTTGGGATAATTTTTGAAGGCAATAAAATTCTTCCCACTGCCAGATGAATTTTATTGTTACAGAGAATGACAGCTATATCAATTCCACAGAAGCGTCAATCTTCTCTACTGAGTCAGGAAACACAAGATATGAGTGAGCCTCCATGCCTTTAAGACTTGAGAGAGCATAACTCAGAAGACCACTGTTGTAACAATGGAGAGCTCAAATACAAAATCCCAAAGGACTGGGGTCTTAGAATGCAATAGTTAAGTCACCCCTTTGTGATGGTATCTGATATTTCACACTTAATTTGATTATAACAGAAGTGATATCGGCTAACTCAGTTGTTTACTGATGGTAATAAGTACAGGGAAGTAATTCCCAATGACAGTTAACTAGGCTATAAAGACAGATTTCCCCACATATTCTATTCATACAGGGAGTAACTCAAAAGGCTGTCTGTAATTTTATTTATGTTCAAACAACCTCTCTGTTGTTGCTAATTATGATGGACAATCCTTAACCAAGAGAGTGGGTGTTAAACACTCGGAGAGCTGCCATAGCCACTCCAGAATCTCCCCATGAGGATTTAGAACATGACAGTGTGCTCACGGTCATTTTTGTAACAGCAGAATTTTCTGCCACTAAAGCAAATTCATAAGTCTTTGCACTAAAAAAGAGAGTTCAGATAATAAGGATGGTGACTACAGAATTGTGAGGGTGAAATGTGAATGTGCTAGTTTAGTTCCCCAGGGGCCTTAATGAGCTAAACAATGAATCCATGAACCACAAGTATGCAACATGCTCTTGAACATAGTTTCTCTTCCTGCCAACCCTGCTGATTAAGCCAGAAAACCCTTCCCATGCTGAACTGGCTATTTAATGGGTAAAAGTAATCAAAAATATAAAGCACAAATCACCCTCTCTATAGAGAGTATAATGCATACAAACTATTTTCCTGACTCTTACAAACTCCACATGAAGATATTCCATATTGAAAAGTACTATTACCATTGAACAAAACAAAGAAGTAGCTTCTCATGAAAACATTTAATGAATTGAAAGGTGATTTTTAACAATATACCTTTAAGTCTAAATTTAATGAAGGAAATGGTAGTTGTCATAGGTCATTTAAAATAGCTTTCCCTAGCATATACATTGTCCATGGATTTTAGAGATGGATATGACAATGTTTCTCCACCCCAGCTTAGGAAAGAAGTATAGAAACGTATATTGCTGAAATGATTTATTCTAGAATTGGTTTAATATTGGTTAACAGTAAATAATTGGGCTTGAAGGACTACAGATCATGGTAAAAAAAAAAAAAAGAGCAGCTTGGAATATAAATTTGGAAATTCAATTTTAGATTGATATCCATAAAAGCTGTATCCATTTCCCCCTCTCATCAATGATTACATAGTTAGATGTATAACACTGACGACTGTGGTCCTTAAAGTATTAGACATTTTTTAGGAAGCATCTACTTAGGCCATGACCTTCAAAATCCAATCAAACATTTGAAAACCTAAGACTGGACGTTTAGCATAGTTCATCATTGTATCCTTACAATCAAATTGTAATGTATCAAATACTATAGGATGGACTCTGACTGCCAGCTTAAAAACTGGAAAGGTAATAATGACCTTGAGACGTTTTTGTTGTTGTTTAAGATTTATTTATTTATTTGTTTTTATCTTATATGTGTTGGGGATTTTTGCCTGAATGTATGTACATGCACCAGGTGTATGCCTGGTGCTTATAGAGGCCAGAAGGGGATGTCAGGACCTCTGGAACTGAAGTTACAAAAGGTTGTGAGCTACCATGTGGGAACTGAACCGAGGGCCTCGAGAAGAGCAGAAAGTGCTCTTAACTGCTGAGACAGTTCTCCAGGCCTGTGAAACATTTTATTTAGAACTCTTGAATGTGATATAAACACACACACACACACACACACACACACACACACACACACACACACTCACTCACTATAAGGCATAAAAATTCCAATGCATAACAGGTGGTACAAATTCACATTATATACCTTGTCATATGTATCACTGTCTGACATTTGTAAATTATATGCTTCTCTCTCTCTCTCTCTCTCTCTCTCTCTCTCTCTCTCGTTAATGGCTAAAGAGAGCCTTATGCTTGCTAGCACTCTACCACTGAGATAAATCCCCAACTTTTATTAACTATTTCCTTAATGGAAATTTGTGTATTTCTTGTGTCTGTGTCCTCGTGTCTGTCAAAATTTAACAGGAGACTAAGTATGACTGCTATTTCTTCTCCATAGATACATGAAATTGCTCCTTGATTTGTGGCCATGTACCAAATTTATAGATTCTCTCAATGTTTACAACTCCATCTCTTAGCCTCCAAGCTGATCTGTTTGGGACTTGCACACAGCCTGTTGTATCTACTTCAGGTTTTTTTCTAACCATTAACATTTATATCCATTATCCAAGTTCAACTTCTGCATGTCCTGAAAGCATTTCTTCTGCCTTTCCTAATTTAAATTCTTCCTTCTTCAGGAAGCATCTACTTAGATATTCAATATGAATTACTTATCCAGTCACAAAAGTAAATAGAACAACCTATTTGTCTTCATGGATCTTAGAATGTACAATGAAACAAGCTAATAAGCACATAGCGCCACCATGGCACCATAGTCATTATGCGTGGGAGAGTGTGAGGTGCTATTGAAATAATAAGACTTCTCTTTGTAATTAAATAATCTGTACACATGAAGAGTTGTTGATGATATTCTACTGGAACTTGAATCCTTTCGAGAATCCCTACAGTGTCGTCTTTCTTTTAAAGCACAAAGTGATTTTACTGCATCAGCCGGGATTCTCTGTGAGCAGCACAACTCTGTTCTATTATTTTATTGTTCAAAGGGTTAAGGCCATTTAGTCTTTAGACTTCTGCCTTACATCACCACCCGAGGAGTGTTATGCTCCAGAAATGCATTGCCTGGAGTGTGCCACTGCTTAATAAATCACTCCATCTTGTTTATCTTTCTCTTGACATATATCTAGCAGCAGGAACCATTATCCAGTGCCGATTTAAGTTCTATTGACATTTGCTCTTAATTAACGACACCATTGCCCAAAAGTTTTGATAACAAATTTAAGATTCTGTGTCTTGCACAGAGTGAACATTAGAAATTTTAATACATGCATTGACATACATAGTTTGAAATAAGTGAAATGTCTTTGCTACATTTCTAGAACACTGGTTTATTCTACTGCATAAACATCAAATAATTCATATTTTCTACCACTTTCATATATTAATTAGGCATCTTGATGATTATATGTAACAAGCAATGTGCATGCTAAATAGATACTAAAGAACACAAATGGTTCAGAAAAAACATGGTTCAGAGCGAGGGTACTCGAAACCTTATGTTATATGGTTTCTACTTCCATTGAATCCTTTTTGGAAATCTGATATTGAGCAAAATGCTGAAGCCTAGGCAAGAAAACACTAAGTAAATACATAGAACACTCATAGTCAGACATAGACACAAAGAAGCCACACAAAAAAAACAGAACAGTCTGGGGACAGATGAGACCAGGGAGGTTCATGTATGAATGTTGTTGGTCTTAGTAGACTTTGGGTTTCATCCTGGGAAAAACAATGAGTCACAGAAGTGTTTTTTAGATAAAGCATACAAACTTTTCTGTTTTTCCTGCATTCAAATCCTCCAGCACATGGGGAAATTTAACATTTGTTTCAAATGTAAACTTAAATAGAAACTAGTTATGCACATATATATGCATATATATATATATGCATCTATATATATGGAGATTTGTATTGGTCATAACATCACTTATAAATTATACTTTTAAAACTCCTAGCTCAAGATCCACAGATACTCTTTTCCACTGTAAGGGCCAGGCAACTGTTACCTATGTCTGACAATGTATGAACAGCAAATTGAAAGCTGCCTATTACCAGGGGGCCCCTTAAGGAGACCATTACCCATGGTGGGACACTTTGCACAGTCCCGATGCAGGGGAGGGCCTTGGACCTGCCTCAAGTGAATGTCCCAGGCTTTGCTGACTCCCCATGGGAGGAGGGAATGGGGGGTGGGTTGGATGAGAGAGGCTGGAGGGGTTGTGGGAGGAGGAAAGAGAGGGGGATCTGTAGTTGGTTTGTAAAATGAATAAGATTTTCTTAATAAAGAAAAAAGAAAGCTGCCTATTACTTCAATTTTTATTTTTAATAATCACATGTTAATAAGATTTATTATGGGCCAGGCGGTGGTGGCACACGCCTTTAATCCCAGCACTCGGGAGACAGAGTTAGGCGGATCTCTGTGAGTTTGAGGTCAGCCTGGTCTACAGAGCGAGATCCAGGACAGGCACCAAAGCTACACAGAGAAACTCTGTCTCAAACAAACAAACAAACAAACAAACAAAGATTCATGTGGTAGTTCCATCTATGAACACAATGTACATTGATCATGTCCGTCTACCCTTCTTTCAGTCCCACTCCCACAGGCATCCTTTCCAGTCCATAGCAGTTACTTCAATTTTCCAGACAACCCTCTCTTTTTATTTTACTTAAGATTTATTTTGTTCTTTAAGCATCCTAACTAGAAAGAACATGGGAAATTCTTCACTATTATTTCATTGACTTTATATGCTCCACTTTTATCAATTATTACCCGAATGTCATGATTGTAGTTGTTTTGAATCTAAATAATACTCGATTAATTTATACTCAGTTAACATATACCAAATTTCTACTACCCATTCATATGGATATTGAAGACTAGGCTGGTTCCATGACTTGATTATTGAGAACAGTACCAGGCAAAGCATGAATAAGTGAGTTCGTTTCCTTTTTATATGTTAAGAGTAGGACAGTTGGAGCATCTGCTTTCAGTCTTTGTCAGAACCCTCACCCTGTTTTTAGTCGTGGGCACTCTAACACACTTCCTAGTTAACAGGAAAGAACTCCTTTCTCTCTGTATCCTCAATAGTGCTTGCTCCTTTTCTTTTTGTAATATCTACTGTAACTGTAATGAGATGGTATTTCATTGTAGTTTTAATCTGCATTTCATTGGTGGCTGATAACACTGGACATTTTCCATGTGTATTTTTGGTCACTTAATATTTATTTTCTCAGAAGTATCTATTGAAAGCAATAGTACCTTTAAATTGGATTTTTAACGTTTGTTTTGTTGAGTTTTCTTATTTTAACTTCGGGCCATATGAATACCCAACAAATATTTTCTCTCTGTCTGTAGGGTCTCTCATCTTTATATTGGTTGCTTCACACACATGGTTTATTTATGAGTTCTTTATTCAATTTTACTGAATATTCAGCTTTACTGGTCTATGCATCTATTTATACAGTAATAATGCTGTCTTCATAAACATGGTTCAGTAACACATATTGATATT